GTTTAGACTATGGCTCATGTGGAGAGGGTGCTGTGTGGCTGGATGATGAAACTTTGTTCCGCGGGCCAGACGATGAAAAAAAAATCAACAGGAGCGGAAGTTGAGCTCCCTTCCGCTCACAGGTGCAACAACTTTACGCACAGGCCGTGCAAGACTTGGGCGAGGACCTTCAGGGCTCAGGTCGTTGGTCCTTCGCCTCTTCACCTGAACTGTCACCGGATGTGCTTCACCGCAGACTCCTCGGTGAAATGCATGATGGCATTTTGGCGTTCCTATACCCAATCTGCCGAAGCTTCCATGAACATCAGCCCCAGGATAGCCTCCTCCGTCCGAACGAGCCGGTAGTATGTTTCTCCGAACCTCATTAAGTTACCATTATAAGGACATTAAGAACCCCAATATAGACCCCAAAGCGCTCTAGTCCTTGCTATGGGGCTTCCAGATTGGCACCCCTAATCTTGGAAAATCAGCATTTATAGACTGCGACGTCGTGGCATCAGGTATTTTGAAATACCAACCTTTTGGGCAAGGGTTTAGGGTTTAGGAATTAGGAGAAGGCTTCCTGAACCGCACAAAACCAAGACCGCAAGTAACAAAACCTCAGACCCTAAACTTGCTGGAGGTTAGTAGGCAGGGGAGACTTGGATTCCCCTCCAACATGTCGTAATCCTTTCCTTTATTCCCTATTACCACACCGTAAGCTAGATTTCGCCCAAACCTTGTCACACCCTAAACCCTAAACCCTAAAAACCCTGTTTCCGCTTTCCTTTTCACTCCTTCCTTCCTACTAGCCACCAGTACAGGGCGGGGCCCCCTGCTTACATGACTAGACTTCTGGGTTTAGGGTTTAGGGTTTAGGGTTTAAGGCAAGCATATCTATCACCGCTTATAATTTATAACCCGCTCGGAGCCAAAATTTGAAAACCCTAAATCCTCAACCCCGCATCCCTAAATCCTAAGGCCTCAACCCCAATTCCTGAACCGTGAATCCTACATCCCTAGATTCCAAACTCGATATACATCCTGTCTAATTATTTGTTGCAGGAACACCGCTATGCCATGCATCTCCATTTATCCGCACATTTCCCTCTACAACCCCTATAAGCCCCTAAACCCCAAACCCTATACTCTGAACCTTGAACGCTGAACCTTAAACCCTGAACTGTAAACCCTACACCCTGAACCCTAAACCCAAAAACCTCAACCCTAAACCCTATACCCTAAGCCCTATACCCTAAACCCTATACCCTAAACCCAAAGTGAACCCTAAGCCTTAAACCTTGAACCCTAAACCCTAAGCCCTCTACCCTAAACCCTAAACGCCTCCCAGGCCCAACGAGTCCTGACCGCGCGCGTCGAGGAAGCATCTCTGCAAGCAAGGCCTGGGCGGAGACATGGTAAGCAAGGTTTAGGGTTTAGGATTTAAGGTCCGCATAGGGTTTAGGGCTTAGGATTTAGGATTTAGGGTTTAGGGTTCAGGGCTTAGGATTTAGGGTTTGGCTTTAATTTAGGGTTTAAGGTTTAGCGTTTAGTCTGGGTTATAGGGTTAGGGACTTGGGTTCAGGGTCTAGGGCTTAGTTCAGGGTTTGGGGGTTTGGGTTTGCGACGTGTACTTGCAAGGTCCTGTCTAGTTGCGAGTATAGGCGGGAGAGCGGTAATTATAGCCTGATTTAAAAGACCAACCCCACAAAGACTGCCTATGAGCTTTGCAGTCGGGTTTGGGGTTTAGGCCTTAGGCTTCAGAGTTTGGGGTCCATAGTTCTCTCCTCGGGACTTAGCTTGGACCTTAGACCCTTCACCCTTAGGAATTCCTTCCTATTCCTGTTAGAGGTACCTAGGGGTTCACCCTTAGCAGGGGTCCTAACTTAGGACTCCTAGGACTCCTAAGTGCTACATAGTTCAGGGAGGAGGGGTCTGGGTTTAGGATGGAGGGTTGTGGAAATCATCTGTCGCGGCTGACAAATCCGAAGTTGATAAATCGGTTCAAGCGCTCTTGGAGATTCTTCCTAACTTAGGAGCTGTTTCGTAGTCTTCTATGGACTGTATAAGGATTATGTAAAAAGCCATTCATAAAGTGAACTTCATACGTGAGTTAATCTATAAGTGGTACTTGTTTTTGGGCTGCCATGGGAAAATAGGTCAAGGTGACAGTCTCCCCCTTCTGGAAGAGTTAGGGTTTAGGGTTTAGGGGGTTTAGGCGAACTGGGCCCCAAGCCTCATACCCTAAAACCAGCTGCGCACTAGTTCGAACCTACACTATCTTAAACACCCCGGCACCCGAAGGGGGGAACCGGGAGCGGCTCAAGTTCTTCCAGGGTTCACTTAGGCTCTAGGCCTTCGGGTTTAGGGTTATTTTTTCAGGGTTTAGGCTTTAGGTTACACAGTTTAGGCAGGTTGGGTGGGGGGTCGGGTGTGGCAGGGTCTTCGGATTGCCTTGGTGATCAGTCCTTAAGCTGCTACCCAACACCAAACCCAAATCCTAAATCCTAAACCCTATGGCTCAAGGCACTTAAGCTGAATCTTCACAGCTTGCCTCCATAAGAAGCTCGTAGAACAGCGGTTCCCTCCTTGCGTTTTGACATGGCTCGGGTGCTTTCGGCAGCCTTGGCCTTAGGGTCCCTGGGTTTCTGCCTGGGCGACGCCGTGGAGGCCGACTGTAACTTGGCTGACGTCAGTCTGGGTCTAGGTTTTAGGATTTAGGGTTTAGGAGTCGGGGTTTAGGATTTAAGGTTTAGGATTTAGGGTTTAGGAGTCGGGGTTTAGGATTGAGGATTTAGGGTTTAGGAGTTAGGGTTCAGGAGTTAGGGTGTGGGATTTAGGGTTTAGGAGTTAGGGTTTAAGATTTAGGGTTTAGGGTTTGGGATTTAGGGTTTAGGGTTTAGCGTCCCTTAGGACTTTAAGTTGGGTGGGCGGTTTAGGGTCTAGGCTTCAGAGGGGTCTCGTAGTCATAAGATTAGGGAGGCTAGCGGTTCAATTTAGGGTGAGTCGTACGGTCACCCTAAACCCCAAACTCTAGAGCCTAAACCCCAAATCCCAAACCCTAAGCCTCAAATCCCAAACCCTAAACCCCAAACCCTAAACTAAAAATCCTAAACCCCAAACCCTAATCCCCAAACCTTAAAACCCAAACTCTAAACCCTAAACCCCAAACCCTACACCCCATAGCCTAAGCCCCAAAATCCTTAACCCTAAGGTAAGGAAGGAGACGGCCAGGGCCTTGCTTTCATCCAGGCCAAGGCAGTTGCGCGAGAGCCACCCGCAAAGGCACCTGTGGAGTATCATTGGGGCTCAGGACGCAGGGGGCTCCGGGTTTCGGATTTAAGTTTAGGATTTAGAGTTTAGGATGTAGGGTCTAGGGCTTAGGATTTAGGATTCAGGGTTGAGGGGTAAGCTTTGGGGGCTCAAAACGTGGGACGAAGGTAGGTGGGATCCCCACTGTAGATTCCATTTTTTTGAGCCGTGTTTCCCACAATCACCCACCGGCCTGGAAAGCTGAATCTTAACAGGACCCCCCCACCCTGTAATAGTGGTATAACATAAGAGGACCCTAATAGAATCCCTATTAACCCTTATAGTCACTATTACTGGGTTTGGGGGGTCCACCTAACCTAAACCCTAAACCCTAAACCCTAAAACCCTAGACCCTAAAACCCTAAACCCTAAAACCCTAAACCCTAAACCCCTAAAACCCTAAACCCTAAAACCCTAAACTTGTTCTTGCTAACCTTACTTTACCCGACCTTTTGAGCCCCCCCGAAGGACGCGGCAACTTCCCACAGTACGGTGTGTCCCCCGCCACTTTTTCCCCAAAGCTCTCCAAACAGATAGCGTGGACCTGGTCTCACCCTATGGGGAGGCCTGTTTAGGGCTTGGGGTTCAAGATTTGGAGTTGGGGTTTTTTTGGTTTAGGATTGAGGGGATTTGGTGTCTAGGGTGTTGGAGTTTAGGATTTGGGGTTTTTGGGGTTTAGGGTTAGGGTTTAGGACTTTTGGGAGGTCTGGTCTCACCCTCCTGCCAGGTTCGCGACTTTGACCTACGGAACGGCCATCGACCACATGCGGAATATCTACCTCTCTGGGGCTGATGGAGTGCGAAAATTTGACGAGTCCGGCAAGCAGCTGTGGGAGTACCTGCAACAACAACAACAACAACAACAATTACCTACAGCTTAGTTGCTTTTACGCCTGTCTTCGTTAGTAAGTGTACCCTTAAAACATCACAAAACTGTAGGTACTCCTAAATCCTGAACCCACAAATCTGTGGGTAATTGGAGTTACAGGTATGAGTCCCTCCCCGCCGAGATGATGGATGCCCCATCTCTCTACGACGGCAAGGTCATCGGAAGTGACACCAAAGGCTCAACCTTAATTCCTAAACCCTAATCCCTAAACCCTCACGAGGCCCTGCAGTTGTAGCCTTACATAATCCTACCATGAAACAAGTTCGTCCTCTAAGTCCTTGATTACACGGATCGCATAATCCACGCGGTACACCATCACGGTGACTAGGTTTAGGGTTTAGGGCCCCCTAAACCCTAAACCCTAAGCCCTAAGCCCTTGACCCTAAACCCTAAACCCTAAGCCCTAAACCCTTAACCCTAAACCAGAAGCCCTAAACCCTTAACCCTAGACCC